AGCACCACTTTAAGCAGTTCCTAGGCTTAGGGAGTGTTTGCAACAGCTTAAAAAAAGCATTTCTCAGCTTTTGGCTTAAAAAAGCACTTATTTACCAAACACTACCAATTTTTACTTTTTCTTGGTTTGCGTGTGAAAAGTGCTTTTTCCCTTTTCTATTACACAAAAAGCACTTATTTTACCAAACACTACCAACTTTTACTTTTCAAAAATCACTTTTTCTCAAACACTATCAACTTTTACTACTAATCACTTTTTCCTTACATCTCCAAAAGTGCTTTTTTTAACTTTTAAGCAGAAGCAGTTGCAAACACTCCCTTAGAAAGCATGTTTTTGCCCACATAGCATGTTCACTGTAGCGATATTAGTCTGCTAAAGTATATCTAGTAGCGAAGAAAGCACATAGCAAGAGTTCTCATATATTAGAAATATTCATACACCCAAGTGGAAATTATGCTAAAACCGACTTGAAGAAATCCTAAACCAATAGAAGTACCAAATAAGAATATAGATATTGCAGATTTACAGCACCTGTTTGACAAAGTAACCAACAGCATTATTATCAGCATAAGTGAGAAAGTGGGTCAGCCCATCATCATCACGTGCGAACTGTTTTAAGTGGTTCATAAGTCTTGTGCCATAGCCCTTAACTTGTTCATCTGCAGTAATAGCGCAGAAAGCTATCTCCCCAAACTTCTGGCTAGAGCATCCAAATAAAACAACCAGTCAGAAAAATTTAACAGCGACCATAGAAACAACAACAAATATATCTTGACGAGAGAAACATATTTAAATTCTCATTCCTGATTTTCTTTTTAGGGGTCGATAAGCAATCTGGTAATAAATTTCAATAATAAAATAGATACTAGGATCTTCCAAGTTTCATCTCCCCATTTGTTTACCCTTTTGAGGGACATGCTACAAATTTTATGACTTTAGAAATTGACGTACCAGTTAAATTAAATATTTCTACAATTCTGCAGTTATAGAATAATGAGATCTACATGACAGAAAAGCTCTGTAGAGACTGAAAAACACAACTTTTCATTGATTGCAAAGAAAAAAACACTATACCTTAAGTAAGGGCGGTATGTTATCCCACCAACCACTTGGTATGTTGTGCCACCAACAGCTTGATTACGTCTAATGACCATTACAGATTTATGGGTTCTGCATCAGATGTTTATAATTAAGCAAGAAAATATTAAGAGCAGGATGCCAAAAACATCAGTAAACTATTATGCTATGAAGTGTGAGCATGGGAAATCATACATGCACCAAACCAACATCTTCTAAACTATGACACAGAATGATGGAGTCACGGCTTAGTGAAATAAATTAATTAATTAATTAATAAATAGATAAATAAATAAATAAATAAATAAATAAATAAATAAATAAATAAATAAATACAACAACATCCAAGCCTTATTCTAAAAAAAACTTGAAGTCGACTAACATGAATCGACATATGATAGCAAAGGAAAAACAATAAATAGAGAAAAAGGGAGACAAACAAAATCAAATCAATGCTCCACAGCAAGACTCTCCCTCAACTTTGCCCTCCACTCTCATGTAACCCAAGAGGTACTATATCATTCATGAGTCATGACCACTCTAATCCATGTCTTTCTAGGTCGTCCCTCCCCGCCTCATCTCCCCACCTCATCTCCCCACCTCTCAATTCGTCTAACAGGTGCATTACTCAATCTTCTACACACAAGGCCAAACCACCGCAACTGAAACTCTCACATCTTATCTTCAACGGTTGTTACTCCCCACACAAGGCCAAACCACCGCAACTAACTCTCACATCTTATCTTCAACAGTTGTTACTCCCATGTTTTTCCTACTTGTCTCATTTCTAAGCAGACTTTTCTATTATGCCCAGTTTTGCCCAAACATCCAACACAACATGTGTATCAACCATGCGCATCTTTTGAATGAGACTTTGTTTCAGCACCAAACACTCTGTCATGCAATTGTGCAGACCCTAATTGTTGTTCTATACAGTTTAGCCTTCAGTCTAATAAGCATAACTCTATCCCATGAAAACAATATTGCAGTATAGCGAACAGCAGAAAAGTCACTATTCTGAATTTTAATACGGTAGAAAATGCACTGCATGAATACAATATCACAAAAATGATGAAAATTGACCAAACTTCATGACATTACAACTGGTCCACTGTTCCCTTAACTCAAAGAGGATTAAGAAGCATAGGGCATGGAATTTAGAAGCAATGATGAAAATTACCCAAACTTCATGAGATTCATTGAAGAATGGAGTACATGGAATGAAGCCACTCAGCTTGTTACTATGCTAGAGGAAAGAGAGGTGATATACTTGGTGGAGAATCTAGAGTTAGAGGTTCCAGAATGTAATACTAACTTCAAGTAGAGCTAGATCAATGTCGGGGGAGGTCATCTGAAGTGGTTGCCAAAAAATGCCAGATGGACTAAATATTGTAATAATAGGCTGCGAATCTGGAGATCTACCCACACATTAGTTTTTATATATTTAAAAATATAAAAATCATAAAATTAAAAACTAATTTTTCAAATGATAAAGTAGGAAACACAAACTTTAGCATAAAACAAGATTAATTATAGAAGCTAATGTTGGTTCACAGACAGTTCAAGAAAAACCCGGGTTGAACCAGAAACTAAAAGAGAGTTGACTGTTGGGACTTGGGTCACTGCTGAAGATGGGAAAGAAACTTATATGTTCATTGGAGCTGAGTTATGCTAAAAGGTAAGAATGTGTACATAAAGAGAAATAGAGACACCTTGAACACTACATTGTCATGAAAAAGCTCTCCGTATCCAAGCCATACCTGAGCCTTTACCCATTTATCAAAAGTAAAGTATTTGCGAATGCAGTTATGTACCCAGACTCAATGCACCTTTGCAAAATGAAGTACCAATGTTACGTGCTACAACATTGAACAGCTACTTGAAGATTTTATTCTGGAAGAATCAGAAGCACTGAGCACACAACTGAGAACCAACTATCCACATTCTAACAGATGGCTTAAGATCTGATGATGAAATGGATGCAGAATTTTAAAACATTGAGAAGTACTCATCCATACCTATCCATTACAAGACGGACAATGTAATCCCTTGGCATGTTAGGTAATTGTCTGGCAAATATGTTCTTTAATCCTATCAACCTGAAGAAAGCCAATATAATTCCCTAGTTAGGCAAATGGACTTTTCAATACTTTGTCTTACTTTACTATTCTTCTTTTTAAACAATTCTTGTTAGTGTGAGTAAATCACAAGTGAAAGTATATGAAAAAACAGATTGGAAAAGCCAAGTACCAAATCATGTGGTCATCAACACCATCATTTGAAACACATACAAACTTGAGTCTTCCTGCTTCCTCCTGTAAATTCTAAAAATTACTGCTGAAAATAGCTACAGTGGTGTAAAGGTGTACATCTGTACATCACAGAACAGTTCTGAGGAATATATTTGAAACAGTGTATCCAGATAGAATCGGAACTAAGAATGGAAACTACCTTCACTGTGGCCAAACTTAAAATATCGTATAAAAACGCAGTGAGAATAATGTCATTCTCCCTCCATCCCTTATAACTTTGCCGTCTTTCCTTTTTTGCTTGTCCCGAAAACTTTTCCACTTTCTCTTTTAACCAATTAATTTATGGTTCTTATCATTTCTCTTTCCTCTACACAAACATCAACCACACAGTTTTTACTTTATTATTTTCCGTGCCGGTCAAACTTGGCAAAGCTTTGAGGGAGTAATAAACTTTGCATCATACATTCTCATTTTCACTCATCCACCACAGTACCACACATCGATTGATGAGAATTACCTCTTCTGATGACTGCATATTCACTCAAATACCCAGGTCTGCTACTGTTCAGCAATTGATATGTTATTGGTCTTACAGTTTTACTATTTAGCTTAAAGCACGGGAATGCAGATTCAAATTACACATCAGAAGTTATCCTAAATAGGAGTAGAAATAATGTGAAATTCCAAATATGAATACTAGGTTTTTCCCTCAATAGGAGTAATTATTGTCGTGTTTGGAAAATACTATCAATTATGGTGTTAATTCTGCCATGAATGTTTGGCAAATCTAAAATATGGCAGTATGGTTTCAGTATGATAGTACTTGCTCCTTTTTTTAGAAACAAACATAGGCTCCTGTTTTGGAATTTCACAATGTTTTTATTCCTATTTCTGGAAATTTCCCTCTACACAATGATATGTATGAAAAGTTTATGTTCCAGGCTAGGTACGACTTGTTCGCATGGGGTATAGGAAGTTTAGGTGATGGAACGATAGGAGTCCTGCTAGGGGAGAGACAAGAAAAATAAAATCAGGTGAAGGAAGTGTAAAGGAGTACATGAACCCCCCCTTCCTACACTTGTTTCTATTTACTGGCGGACACTCCAATTCAGGGTATAGGAAGGTGGAGTGAGGCAATAACTTTTAAAAAATAGTTGTATCTTGCACTGTCTGCCTCCACTAGTCATCACATCCTCCACCCTTGACAATCACCATCACGGCATCACCACTACACCAGTTTCTTTTATAAAGTAGTTACTAACCCTTTCTCTTCATTTCCCATTTTATTATCTCTAGAAAGAGGAAAATATAAAAAATCAAATCTACTCTCTTGTTCATTCCATTTCTATTTTCTGGTACTTTCTCTTTCATGCTCTTCACTAATTACACTCCCTTAAACCCCACCAAATAGACTGACATAGGCTTAGGTTGATAGCTAAAAAAAATACAAACCTTTAATATCCATATAGCATAGTACTACGTAGTTAGTAACTTAATAAGCTAGCGTAGCAAGGCGGGATTGTAGACAAAACTGGTAGCACAAGTCAGTGACTTTATGCAGATAATAATTTCAGATACACCCCGGTCCCCATCACTCTATGATGTTCCAAATTGTTGGGGGGGGGGGGGGGGGGCACGACAAAAAATCATACACAGTCCTTGGCAATGTCAAAATTCACTAGAAATCGAAAAACTTGAAAAAACATGAACACAAAGCAAAGTAGTTGGAAAATAATGTATTACCTCTCTCTTCAAACTCTCTTCCCTTGCAATATAGGCTCCACTAGTCTGTAAGTTTTCAGTAAAAATATTCCTCATTGCTTCATCCTTCACCACAACTCCCGAAACAGATCCACCAGCTGGTGCGGCCACGGAATTCCCTGAACCGCCACTTACTGTGTCTTTCACCACCTGATTGGGCTCAACTTTTACAGAATTATCAGTCTTGAGTTTCGTATTCCTGACTAGTGGTGCCCCACTGTTCTCCAATCTTGAGGCCGTGAAGGTGCGCATTGAGGATTCGTCATACTCCTCGTCGTCATCGGCAACCTCCTCGGACTCGTCTTCGGAGTCTGAGTCAGCACCCCGTGCGCTGATGCTCTCCAGGTCATCGTTCGATGTCAGGGCACCGTCACGCGTGTCAGAGAATGAGGAGGGAAATGGAGGCGCGTGGTCTTCAGACGCCAGCTTGCGCTTGTGAATAGATGACGTCGCGGAGGCCGACGCAGAATGCGACGGCGACGGAGACTGTGAGCTCCGAGACCGGACTGGTGCTATTAGGTGGGAAGAGTGCGTGTCCATACCAACTGGCCTTCCCAATTCGATTCTATGCAATCCTTCAGAGAAATCCAAATTTTTGTTTTTGACAACAATCAAACAACATTTTAGATGTGAGGTGAAGAGTGGTGTAAAGAGAGGGATAAATGTGTAAGATATATTCTGAATCACAAGTTTAGAAAAATCGCATATATGGTCTCTCAGTTATCCACGAAATTAAAATCTCAGACTTGTATTTCTGAGATTGTAAATGTCACCCCTCAATTGTCTAAATTGTTGTAAATGTGGTCTTTTAAGTAGTGAAATGTACTCTCGCCCACATTGTAAATTTTGAGATGAACAAAAAATAAATTTGAAAGACGATTATATACGGACAGGGATGGATTTGGGGGGGGGGGGGGGGGGGGGCGATCGCCCCCCCTTGGACTTTCAAAAATTTCTATAATATATATATATATATATAGTATTTTCATATATTTTTCGTACTTTAATTATATATTCATGTGTTCGTCCCCCTACCTTTTGATTTTTAAAACTAATATTTAGCCTTACATAATGTAATGCATAATTGAAAATTTAAAAGAAGAAACATCTAACATAATTTACATAACTTAAGCAAATAAAAGTGGAACAACTCATTGTTTAAGACTTATGGTACTTGTTATATAAACAATCCTAATTTTGTAATATTTAATTATCTTTATTAGATAGTTAGTACTCGACTTTGTAAAATATCAAATGATATTAAATACGAGACACACTAGTTTAATAGTATTTAAATTATGTGAATTGAATCCAAAATATAGGTGCTTGTTGACATTAAATTAAATTACACAATTCATCTACTTTTTACTTTTTAAAAATAATGTATTGCATAGATAATATACTTTAATTTTTTTAGCAATATAATGTGTAGTATTATTTTAAAAATAATATATTGCATAGATTATATTGCACCATATATATGAATTAACAATATAATACGTAGTATTATTTTAAAAATAATAATCTCATACATATTAGTATAATAATAAGAAAACTCCTTGAGACTCGCGAACACCCTCCTTGGTAGACAAAAATTGCAACTCAAAACCAAATGTTTACTCCGATAAGGTTTATGTGGTTAAACAAGGCATAAGTTATTTAAAAAGTATTGGTCGATGTGTACCTTTTTAACTTGTTGTCTTCAAATAATTTGATAAAATGTTATACATCCCATCTTATTTTCAAATATTTTCTCTTTGATATTCCATTTCTTACACTTTAATGTATCTGTACTTTTGCTAGGGCACTTCAATTATCAAATCCAAGTTATCTTTCCATTGTCTAGATTTAGAATGTACTAATAATATATTTAAAGCTTAAAAATGTCATTGTGTATGTAATAATGGAATTTTTGGAATAAAAATTAACCGCATAGCCCTACAGTATTGAAAAAATTTCGGCCGCTACATTAGCGAAAATATTTTTACCCCGACACTAACGGAAAAAACTCGCTCCCCTTGACGCGAAATCCTGGATCCGTCCCTGTATACGGATGTTGATTGCTTAAGTTTATTGCTTAGGTGCATGTTGATTATGCACTATTTTCATGTTTAGGGTGTTACAATTGAACACTTTTGAAGGGATCTGCCCCTGCTTAATATAGAATATATACTATTTTAAGTTAGAAAACTTTGTCAAAAAAATACGTGTGACTAGATCTCATTATTTGGAGATCAACCAGGCTTGAGGCACACATTTTTGTACACACACTTACACACTCATGTCTGTGAAGTGTTTTGTTTTGTCTGTATACAGACACAACTTATTTCACAGACACTTCAAATGTGTTGTGTCTGTATACAGACAAAAAAACATTCCACAGACACAAGTGTGTCAGTGTGTGTACAAAAAATGTGTAACAATAGTTTTTTCCTCATTTTTAAAATGTGAAGTGTACCAAATAATTAATTGATATAAGAGGCATTTTAAGAGCTAGAGCCTAAAAGTATTAAGTGAACTATATATTCTATATATTGAATACGTCTCTTCCAAATTTGAAATATCATTACTACCTAGTCATGGACCCGGGCCGGGCCGGTTCATGTTATTTTTTAAAAAAAATCTTTTGCTTTTCTAATTAACCCCCGACCCCCCCCCCCTTCACCCCCCAACCCCCCAACCCCTCAAAACACCCAGAAAAAAAATAGGCTGGGTCGATTCCGGGCCCAAACCGGGCCGGTTCCACTTTTAGGAGACCCGAGACCGGCCCGATTAATTCCAGGCTCGGGTGGCTCGGACCGGTCCTATAACCGGGTACTGGGCCGGGCCGGGCCCAAACAGTACCGGTTCCGGGCCTGGCGGCCCACCCCGAGTCCATGACTATTACTACCTCCGTCCCCCTAAGTTTGGAACAAAGGGATGTGGTGTGGTTTTTAAGAAAAAGTAGAATTGGGTGGTTGGTATTGAATTGATAAAGTGTGAATAAAGTAAGAATGAATTCTAGTCACTCAAACATTACCTAATATGGTATGGGACAAACTTAATGAGACGGGCGAAAAAGGTAAAACGAGACAAACATAGGGGGTTGGAAGGAGTATTAATTATCATTTGAATAAATCACTCCCTCCGTATTTAGTTGTTCTCTACATTGGGTTTGAGCACAAAGTTTTAGGATGAAATAGTAGTGGTAATGAATAGTGTAGAAAAAGTAGAAGAGAGTGTGTAAAAGTATGAAAGAGAAGATAAAAAGTGGAAAAAGTAAGAGTAGTTAAGTATTTTTAAAAGAAAAAACTTACCAAAAAGGGAAAGTGTAACAAACTTTTAAATACATTCCAAAAAGGAAAGTATAGCAAACTTTAGAATACGGAGGGAGTACTACCTATCATTTGAATAATTGAATATACATTCAATTTGTTATCGTTTTCCATCATTTTCAATGGAGCCAAAGATTTATTATTTTTTGGCTCAAGAATATCTATCTATAAATAATACATTTCAAAGATACAATTATGGAAATGTGTCATGGTCTGAGCAACTCATTCATTATGATTATCTCCCTAATTTAGAATTACGTATCTATCTGCCTTAATTAAAATTCCTAAAATTTTGAACTACTTAAAAGAAAATCTTAGACACGAATTAAAATTCTTAAAATTAAAATTTAGAACTACGAGTATTTGCTAAATTTCAGAACCATGTTAGATTAGAATTCAAACTCTCATTATATTCATATATATTTTTTAAAGTGTAATAACTTTTTCATTTGTATTGTGATTGTTAAGAAAATTATATCAAATTTCATAACTTTTTATTACCTTTCAAATGACACCAAAATTAAATATACAAAAATAAAAAAACAATTTAACATTCAAAAACATCTATTTGTTTAAATTTATATAACTTTTTATTTGTACTTTGATTGTTACAAAAAATATGTCTAAAATCATAACATTTTATTATTTTTCATACGATATCAATATTGAAAATATAAAGATAGAAAAATATTTAAACAGTTTAAAAAGTATCTGTTTTTTAAATGTTACTACAACTATTGTTAGATCAAACCAAGTTAGAATTCAACAGTTGCAAAGTACACATTGAACAAACATGTACTAGACCAGTTCATATGAGATCAGTCTAGATCAGACTTAAACAGATCAGACCAGACAGACCGGACCTGAAGATTTCAATTGAACTGACATGTGAAAACTATTTTCTCTCAAACATAGATTAACACAATTGTAGTCAAATACAATTTCACTACATATATAAATTTTAGACTCCTACTTTAGAGATTTTGCTTAAAGACAATTAACACAATTTCACAATTCTTATGCACAATTCCTCCAATATAAAGTTACACCTTTCTCATTTTCCATATGAATTTTTCTCCCCACTTTTCAAACTCATCTCCCCATGGCCTCTTTGCAAAATATCACACCCGTAAAAGAGAGTTACACAACTATTGTTAAAATCAATATTTTATGATTTTCACGGCTAAATTACTTTATAATCATGTTTTGAAAAAAGAATCAAAACCATATGATTTTGTGAGACTCTAAATAGTTAAAACACTAACGGTAGTGTATCACAAATCTCCATTGAATCCTTTTCAGTGTCTCTTTTTATCCATTGAATTTCATGCATACCTTTCTTGGTAACTGGTACGTTAAATGTTTAAATATGTTAAAACAAAAATTAGACAATTTTATCAAGTAGATATAGTTCATCCGAAACTGTTCCAATTAGTTTAGGATCAAAACTTAAAAAAAAAAACTTATAAATTTAAATAAGGGTTAAAGTAAATTAAATCAATTCAGAATCAAAAGTTAAATTGAAATGAATATAGTAAATTTAAATAACGTTTCTTTAGTTGAAATGATACTCCTTATTTTTTCAATAATTATTTCATTGAAAACTTCTTCCCCTAGATATATTCTTCTGTCGTTTTAGAATATTTATGATGTTTTTAATTGGATTAGTTTCAATTTCATACCAGGTCAGACTAGAACATACTAGATTAAGTCATGCTAGACTTTGACCGTTGTAAAATACTTATAGAACAAATATATACTAGAGTCGACCCGTTCAGATCAAATCAGAACATACTACACTTAAACATGCAAGATCAGATCTGAAAATTTTAGACAAATTAAAACACCCTTACATGAGATTTACATGTGAAAACACAATTTCACTCTAACATAGATTAACACAATTTTTCTCAAACATAATTTCACTAGGCTCTTCTACAAAATTTCCCTCAAACACAAATTATGAAATTAAGTCAATTTTACTAGACTCATACACAATTAATAATCGATTGTAATTACTAATCTTCTTCTTTACTACTAATTTATTTATCTTCTTATCCCCTACTAATTTAATAATTACTTTTAATTACGAGCTCACTTGGAATTAATAATTACGATGTAGTATTTAACATGCACCAAGTTAATAATTGTTTAAACGTTTTTGCAGTCTATATTTTCTTATGAAAAGAGCATTTGCAACTAAGTAATTATCTATACATTTTCTAATCTATATTTCCTAATGGAAAGAGTATTTTATAACTCTCAATTGCATCCAAATGAAATTCATCTTTTCAATTATCTCTATCTAAACAAAAAAAATGAAAATGCTCAATGCCTATTTTATCCATTAAAT